TCTCAGTCCCATTGATAGTTGGAGGTCAGGAGGTATATAGACATAGATAAAACTTTGGGTGTGGATTGAATTACTACAGAGAAAGTGTATAGATTAAAATACAGGAGGACAAGGAAAAAAGGTATTGAAGGGCTAAAGATGGAACCCAGTGTTTCAGTAACTTACAGCTTATACTTTTTAGGCAAGGTCTACCTGTCTAAAGACCCAAATTTTTCATCCTTTTGCCTAAGACCATTTCTCTTCACAATATATAAAAACCTCGAAACTTTGGTTTGAGTAAGGGTGAAATGCAGAAAAACACAGGATCTATGTCAGTCACAAGTTTTGCACTTCATCATGTAATAGCGAAAGTCATAAAACTTCAGGGAAGGTTATACTTTTTCACCCATTATTAAGGATTGACTGTAATATGACTATAAAGTAGTAAGATTTTAATATAAGTCCAGTTAAAAGGGAGTGATCCTTTAAAGAATCTTTATATCACTATTAATAGATTCTGCCATTGCCAAACACTTTCAAAATTCATCTTTTGAAAGGGTTTTTAGAGAATTTACATTCTACCTCTCATAGTCTTTTCAATCTGTATTAGTTTCCTAGGCCTGCCATAAAAATTTATCACAAACTGGGTGGCTTAAAACAACAGAAATTCATTCTCTCATAATTCTGATTGTCCGAAGTCTGAAATCAAGGCGTTAGCAAGGCCATGCTTCCTCTGGAGGCTCCATTGTGAATCCTTCCTTGCCTCTTTTGGCTTCTGGTGGCATTTCTTGACTTACAGCCTCATCAATCCAATCCCTGCCTCCATGGTCATATTCTCTTCTCTTATGTGTCTGATTTCTTCTCTTTTGTCTCTTATACAGACAGTTGCCAGGAGATAATCCAGGATGATCTCATCTCAAGATACTTAATTACATTTACAAAGCCCCTTTTCAGATAAGGTCACTTTCACAGGTTCCAGGAATTAGGACATACACATATGTTCTAGGGGGCCACCATTCAACCCACTATACCATTCTAGTCCTATACCTCTCTCCTCACTCATTATGTTTTCCTCATGGCCCTCTCCCCTTTTTCTCCCTCCCTTTTTCTCTTTGATTCAACAATCTAATTACCCATAGAGAAGTTTGTCAGGTGCAGGGAGCAGGTGTCTGGGTCCAGAAGTTGGAATTGCACTATTAGAAGAACGTCAAGAAGCAGCCCGCCCTGTGCTGCAGGCCTAGTAAAAGCTGCAATGGGAACATAAGAGCAATTAGCTCATGACATAAATATAAAAATTAGAAGGCAAATGGGTAGAAGTATCTAGGAATTATAAATTAAAAAAATATATTTATATACACATACACATACACATGTATATACACATATATATGGGAGAATGTATATATTACACATATATGTGTGTGTGTGTGTGTATATAGTCAGGTTGCTTAATGACAGGATGCATTCTGAGAAATTCATCATTAGGCAATTTCATAATTGTGCTAACATCCTAGAGTGTATTTACATAAATGGAGATGGTATAGCCTGCTATACACCTAGGCTATATGCTATAACCTATTGCTCCTAGGCTATAGACTTTTACCATGTTACTGTATTGAATACTGTAGGCAATTTTAATACAGTGGTAAGTATTTATGTATATAAATATATCTAAACATAAAAAGGTATTATAATCTTACGGGACCAATACCATCATATATGTAGTCTGTCATTGACCAAAAACATCACTTTGCAGTGCATGACTGTATTTATTTTTTTACGGTTTGTCCTGTATGCCTTTAGTTAGTTCTTAATAAGGTTATAAAAGAAGATAGTAAAATGAGAATACATGTAATTACAAAGTAGCTTAATTTAAATAAACTTATATTCTAATTTCTTTCACTTTTTTGAAGCTTTTAATAAAGTTTTAACCCTCATTTTAAAGCTAGATATTAAAGAAGAAATTGAAGATGAAGAAAAGGCAATTGAAGATTATATTGATACGAAGATGAATGACGCTGATCCTACTTCAGTTGAAGCTGTATACTCTGTTTCTAGTCAATGTCTGCATGAAAAGAAAAATAAAAGACCAGATATTAAGAAGGTATTAATTTTTTACACTTACTTAAAAAATGAAAGGGGTGGGATTCATCATTTTTTCCTAAGTGTATATTTTAAACCAACTGTGTAATGTGGTTTTGTTTTTTTCTATCTTTCTTTTTAAAAGGTTCAACAGCTGCTGCAAGAGGTGACAGCTTCTTAGAACTTTATTGGAATAGATTTTTGACTTTTTATATTCAGCTATCTAAACCATTTTTAAACTAATTTTTTTAAACGTTCTTCTTTACCTTTAACAAGGTAGCCTGGTACAGTGCAGTGGTTATTAAAGCATGAGTTGAACTTCCAACATATAGAACAGATAAAAGTAAAAGTAAAGCCACCATATCAACACTTAGCACCACCCACTTAGTATCACCCTGACTTCCTGAAATAATCCCTGAGACATCGCCTTTAAACATCATCAAACACTGTTTGAAAACTATAGGATTAGCAAAAAGAAAACAGGCTATGTATAGCATCAAAAGACCCTGGTCTGAAGCCTGACTCCACTATGAATTTGCTGTAAAGCTTTGGTCAAACTCTTAGCAGCTGTGAGCCTTGGTTTTTTCACTTACAACATTGGACTATTATCTGCTGTACTTCTCTAACAGGTAGTCATAAAAATCAAATGATGCAGAATATATACAAGCACTTTGCAAATTAGAAATTGATATAAAATTTAAAGTTTATAGAGACAGTTATAAAGTACTATTACAACACTATGTTTATAGGCTCATGTTCACAGTGTTATTTTAAGCAATCATTCACCACAAACCAAATATCCCCTAATGATGCTGCTGTAATGTTAAGTCTGTAATTCTCTTATGTTACATGGCAAATTTGAAGGAATTTTTTGTAGATATAATTAAGGTTCCTAATCAACTACTTTTGAGTATCAAAAGGGAGACTGTGTTGAATGGGCCTGACTTAATCAGGTGAACCCTTACAAGAAGTCAGAGATTCTCCCCTGGCCTTGAAGAAGTACCATGATGTGATAAAGCCATATTGGCTAAAACCTACAGATGGCCTCTGGGAGATGAGAAACACCCTCCAGCTATCAGCAAGCAGGAAAAAAAAATTGGACCTCATTTGTACAACCACAAGGAACTGAATTCTGCCAACAACCTGAATGAACTTAGACAAGTACTCCCAGCTTCAGGTAATACCACAGCCTGGGCTGATATCTAGATTTCAACTTTGCCAGACCCTCGGTATGAGAATCTGAGCTTGCCTGGACTTCTGACTTACAGAACTGTGAGATGATAATAAATGGGGTTGCATTAAGCCAAGTTTATGGTAATTTATTATGCAGCAATAGAGAATGAATACAGATTACTCCTGTGATGATTCCCCCAATATGATTTCTCACCATATTTACAGGTTCTGCCCACACTCAAAGGGTATATAGAAATTATAGAGCATGTACACGAGGAGATTGTAGTGTACATACTGATTTTCACTGGATTCCTCTTTTCATCAGTCCCTAGTCTTTTGTAGTTTGTTTTACCATAGAGTGAGAGACCATTGGATAGTAGTGGCAAATTAATTTTTAATGATTTTCAACTATTTAAGTTTGAAACTCTTAATTGGTTTATGTGATTTAAAAATGGATTTTACAGCTTTTAGTGAGAAGGAATTTACTTAAACATAAAAATTGATAGAAAAACTGCTATGCATAAAAGGAATACCTAATGTATGCAATTATTCATTCATTCAATAATCTTTGTGTTACTAGTTTAACACACCCAGAACAAGAGTATGTATAGAGAGCTGTAGCAGAAGAGGATCATCTTCTATTGTGTACTGTTTAGACCTTCCTAAATGCCTTCCTGGGAAACAAAGATAGTACACCTTTCAAATCACCTTTATAAATTAAGTATTTAAGCAGAAATATTTGCTAGTTGAAGAGGAAAAAGGAAAATAAAATGACTTAGCCCAAATTAATCTAAACAGGAACCCACGTAATTTGAGACACAATATGGTTTATAACACTGATAATAATTATATTATTTTAAAATGTAATAATTTAACTATTTCTTGAAATAAATGCATATGTATAGTGTATATGTAGCTTATTATGGACTGTGAGCAAACCATATTAAAATTTTTTAAAAATGTAAACCACTTCATTGAAAATTTTACAATATAATTTGATAGATGTTTCCATTTCATCAAATGGAATTAATATCAAATTTGCCAAAATTAGGCCCAGCTTCCTTCTTAGGTAAGACTATCCCGTAACTCTTTTGAAGGCAATAATACAGTAAATTCAAGGTAACAAATCAGATGTTTACTACAGTTTCGTCTCTTTGCCTGATGATATCTGATCCATTGTGGACTGTGGTTGTTTATGGAAAGAAAATACACTGATTTAAAATGGACACCTTAGGACATTGTTTTAGTTCTGAGTAGAAATGCCTTAGACAGTTTATATGTTTAAAAGTTTTTAAAATCAGCTCTATTTAAGCTATTAATATTTCTGCACCTTTTGTAAAACTACTACCAAAGACACTCACTGTGTAATATACCCCTAATAAAAAGGATCTATGATAGAATTGCACACAGAAGTGCATTCAACATTTTAAGAGTTTAGTGTCAAGTGAATTGGTGACCTTATTGTACTGGGATGCTTCTATCACAATAGGAACTACATAACTCAGCATTTTCATTATTGCTGTAACAGTGGCAAAATTCTAATCTAAATTGAGCACTCTATAGTCACAACCATTCTTTCCTAAATTTCAAGCTACTTAAAATCCTCTTTGGACTTAGGCAGGCTAATTAACAAATGAATAAACAATAACCTATCACCAGGTATTAAATTATGCAAAATAACTCAAACATTGAAAAAATTATAGGAAATCAGCTTAGAACATACACAACTTAAAGAGAAAAAATTTTATTGTGATATAAAATGCACTTATAAAATGTCCACAGAAGGCATGAATTCTTCACTGCTATATAAATTTACTGGGAATATGTTATTCACCATCTAGTTATGATAATGCCACCTAAAACATAGTGTAAACGATGAGTTATATTCTATAACAAATGCATCACTGATTTTCAGCAATCATTGGTTTATTAATAATTAGTTTAAGACTACTTAATCACATCTATATTCTGGAATGTCCATTTACTTTCATGTAGTGTAGTGGAATTTAGAATATAATTGCACACAGATGGTAGAGAAAAACATTCACTACTAAATTATTTTATATCTTCATGACAGGTAACATTCTTCTGACTGAAACTAACAGCTTCAGCTATGGTCTGCAACATAGCTCCAGGCTTTTTAATGTAATAATGTGTGTGTACACGTGTCTATGTGTGCACTCATGGAACAACTTAAGAAGTGCAACATTATTGTTGATTACTTTGCATGTTTAAATATTACAGTCTGATTATTTGTAAACAAAACCCCACACAAATATTCTAACTTCTATTTTTAAAATTCTGTCAACCCATAATTATTCTTATACGCTTTACTAACTTGAACACACACTGAATTTCTGAAAGGTGCATACATTACCTTAGATAATAAGGTTTAGAAATGAGTGCTTCATACTATGAAATGGGCATTTCTGATTTTTTTTTAGGCAGCACAAGGTTTAGATCAAGAAATAACAAATCCTGGATCCCCACAGTTCATTTAGAAAATGCCTCAAAGTTATGGCTCTTGCAGCAGGTTTAACAAAGTGTTCTAGCTCTATTTCAAGTATTAAAGAAATATGAGGCTCAAAATCTCTCTAGGTTCTAACTGAAAATGCAAAGCTTTAGAAAACAGTTAAATGTGTTTAGAAATAAAATATTAGTTGAAACAAGATTCTTAACATGTTTATCTGTTAGGCCAAGTACTAGGACTTTAAAACAATTTTAAATCTGAATATTTGCTCAGAAGTGATAAAGAACACAATTTGCCTATAAATATATGGTTTTGGGGGCAAAAGTCAATCTTGATGTTTAAAATTTTTCCATATTTTTTACTTTAGTTTTGTTCCTTTTTGAATGATATTAATTTAAATTTCAATCTGAACATAAATATTTGACCCCATAGTTCTTAGAATGAAATGACTTACTTTGGAAATGCAAATTTTTTAAAGCACTAGAGAGAATTTACTAAGGCTGTTCAAAGTCTTTCAATGTCATCAGAAATCCAGCAGTATAGAAAATATCTAGTACCCTTGAAGTTTCAGAGTAAGCTGATCTTATGAAATTTCAATGCCATTAAAAAAACAAAAAGTCAAATAGAAAAGACTGCTGCAATAAAGCACTGTTTCTAAAAGTTGCAGACATGATCCTACAGTCTGACAGAATTAGCAAAGCTCCTCAAAGCCAACTTCCCACCTTTTCCTAGGCACACTGAATTTTCAGCTTAAAAAATAATCTAACCTGGTTCTCAACATATTGATTAAGTAGTATGTCTTAAGGTCTGTCTCTCTTAAAAAAGAATTCAGATATTTCACTAAAATGTAATAAGAAGTATATCCTACTTTGAGACATCAGACTTTCTGGAACTGGCCCAACTGTATAAAATTTTAAGAATTATGTGAAAGTGTGGAATCAACACTCTATGAAAACAGTGTGACAAAACTAAACATTATTATGTTGAATCCTTTTCTAGCTTTAACTCAAAAATAGAAATAATGAGTCTTATATAACATTATTTTAAAAACACACAGAGGTGAAAAGTGCTATTTTTCAAAAAGTACAATTTTTTCCCTACTTTATATCAATATGGAATGATTTCAGTTCTCCTGTACTAAAAGCTGGACTTTTAAAAAACTAGTATTGCAATGTTTAATGTATAGATTTTAATCAGTAGTGGCTTCAGTTTCAGCTGGACCCCTAATTAGTCTCCGAATTCCTCTTTTTCCTGCAGGACCTTTTGGTTTTGCAAAACTTTGCTTATGCGCATGTTGCTTGGGATGTACTTCTTCATAAAGGAAGTCTGCAGTCAATTCATCCCCATTGTCTATCTCAATCTGTAAAAGATAAAATTAGTAAATGCAATATAAAAAAAAAAGCACAACATTTAAAATCTAATACAATCAACAAGCCAGTTTTCAGGTTTGATGCTCACAAATAAGTACATAACACCTGTTCCGGCAAGAGAGAATCAAGGACCATCTGTAAATGGTTTCATTTTCTTCTTGGGGGGGGTGAAATGAGTTGCTTAAATATATAATCATCTATAATCATTTCTATTTGGTTCCCTCTTACTGCTCCAATTTAAATAATGTTTAAAAGTAGAAGCCACCACTATATTCTCAAGTTGGCACACTATATATTCAAGACACATTACTCATGGCCCCTGCATCACTTGGGCCACTCAAAATCACTCTAGAACAGAAGTCGTCAAACTATGGCCTACATGCCAAATCTTGCCCATGCTAAGATTGTTTTACAGTCTTACAAGTTGTTAAAAACAAACAAAAAGAATATGTAACAGAGACCATATGTGGCCTAGCAAGGCCTAAGGATATTTACTATCGAGTGCTTAATAGAAAAAGTCAACTGATCCTTGCTGTAAAAGGTGCTACCCATGCTAAAGTGATTCTTAGAATCTTAAAAAGCTTGAAAGGTTTATTAGTACCTAAAATAATGGTAGTTTGTAAGGACCTGTATTTTAAGAGTTAAAGGGCTCAAGAATTAACTGTATCTTTCCCCCATGCCGTACCTATATTTAAGAATATAAATTTAAGAAAACTAGTAGCTTAGTTCCCCAAATTCAAATGTTTATGCTTGTTCTCCTCCTTCCCCAAGAATTGGAAAGATTCCCCACCATCCATGATTCACAGTAATAAGTGGAGACTGTAGCTCCTTATTAGTAAGGAGTCTAGAAGTAATCCCAAGTATGTAGCTCTAGCAGCACTGTCCAATATCCAATAGAACTTTCTGCACTGATGGAAATGTTCTATGAACAATTCTTCACTATCCGCCTGTAATCCTAGCTCTCTGGGAGGCCAAGGCGGGCGGATTGTTTGAGCTCAGGAGTTCGAGACCAGCCTGAGCAAGAGCAAGACCCCGTCTCTACTAAAAATAGAAAGAAATTAATTGGACAACTAAAAATACATAGAAAAAATTAGCCGGGCATGGTGGTGCATGCCTGTAGTCCCAGCTACTCGGGAGGCTGAGGCAGGAGGATCGCTTGAGCCCAGGAGTTTGAGGTTTCTGTGAGCTAGGATGATGCCACAGCACTCTAGCCCGGGCAACACAGTGAGACTCTGCCTCAAAAAAAAAAAAAAAATTCTTCACTATCCAATACAATAGCCACTAGCCACATATGGCTAATGAGCACTTGAAATGTGGCTAGTGCAATTAAGAAACTGAATTTTAAATTTTATTTAAATTTAAAGTTAAATGGCCACATGTGGCTTATGAGAGAGCACAGATCTATAGAGAGATGGGGATCATCACAGGTCACCCCTAGGCACTTAGAGGAGACCCTAAGGATTTAGGATGAGAAAAAGAAAATAAACATTTTCATTTATAAAACACAATACATCATGAGCTACACAGAAATGACAAGAAAAATCTAGCCAAAACTGAGGATTTTAAAAGAAGTAGGTCTACCTTTCTAATTACATCCATTTGTAGTTGTCTTTCTACAATTTCTAGTAGAGGGCTCTTGCAGCTAGAATATAGCATCCGTTCTCTTATACTGCATGTGTATCCAGGCATTGAATAAATAAAAACTGTAAGTTAATAACAAATAAAATTAGCAGCATACTAGTTAAAGCAAGTACATAAACCTCATAAAACTACAGTTAAACCTTCTGGGCAAGAAATAAGACTATAAGGCTGAAATATCAATAAGCAAACTAAATGTAAAGTGTTAAAAACAACATATAATATACCTATGGACTCTAAATAGTCTCCTTCATGGGAATGTTTATACAGAAAGAAATGGTAACGTGCTGAATCCTTGGGAATCCTCTTTGGCAAATCTTTTAGTTCTGTATTTGCTGTGTTGGCCAAAATTATAATTTCATTTTTTATATCTATTTCCTGTCAATAAGAAACAAAGTATATTTATTAAAACAAATACACAGAAATTAAGTTAAAATCTTATAATAAAAAAACTAAGGGGGAACTTATATAGTTCCAGATTGACTTTTTAACAATGAACATATATTGCTTTTGTAATTTAAAAAATCAATAAAAATCAGGAAGCAAATTAAAAAATTTAAAATCCATTAAAAATAAACTTTATACAAGCTGTAAGCTACCGAAAGAGCAGCCATTTCATAATAATCATTATATATCTCTTACCAATTGCACATAGTTGAGCTGTCTGTTATTCAATTTTTCCAAAGCCTGAAAAGCTTCTCGAGAAATAGGAAATGCTACTCCTTGTAGTGTCTGATGCTTAGTGTCCACACCCACATCAGTTTGTACCTAAGTATGACAGATTTAATTTACTGGTAAAGTTTTAGCATTTAGCAATGTCTTATGGCAAAAATAAGAAGACCCAACTTCTAAAATAGTGAACATCATTTAATCCTTGCCCAAACTATAATTAAAATACTTAAAACATTATGAACTTTAAAAGCAAATTATTTTACACCTTTGTTCATGGTCCTGCTAACGTTTTGTCGACATGCAGAGTGCATGACACATCTTTATGAAAATGTTGGGAGTGAATGTTTGAATGAATGTGCAGTGTTAGTGGGGTTTTGGGGGTTTTGTTTGCTTTTATGTTTGGTTCAGCACAATTTCAGTGAGCTACGTAAGCTCTTTAAAGTGTCATCAGATTATACCTTTCATCACAAAATTTTACTTGATAGAATTTATAAACATTAATGTACATACAATATGTATAGAACTTTACTTTGTTCTGTTGGACATAAAATGCAAAACGAACACCATGCATTGAATTGAGTAGTACAAACACTATACAAAGACACAACACAGCTCAACAAGTTATACTACTGCAGAAGTTCCAGACTTAGAGTTTTCTTTACTAAGAACACACGTGTGCATGTATCGGAAAGGGAGAAGGATATTTCAAGAAAGCTTTCAATGCACATGCTTACGATTTTTATGCTTGATAAATGATAGCTAGTATAGGGTCTCATTTGCAGTGTTGCAACAGAAAGTCCAATAGAAATTTTACTTTTAAAAAAATGAATGGAGATTCTACAGCATAAATGATATTGGATAATGAAAACATCATAGAACATATGCAAATGCATACCCCAATACGATCCTCTGGGTTCTGATTGCAAGGAATAAAACAAACTATCAAACTTGTCAAAAAAAATCACATAAAAAGTCCTACTCAAATAACTTGAGTTAAAATAATGATAGATCCTTGCTACCAGTTTAATATTAAATGATATTCAACCATTTTCCAGACTGATTCCTAACAGCCTATTACTCAGGCTAGTAAATAGTGGTTTCAGCCACTTGTTCTTTTCTGTAAAATGCCAGTAGAAATACAGTAGCTATTCCAGCATATAATTAGAATGGCTGCAGAAAACACATTAAAAATATGATAAACTATAATATGGCTGAAATTTATTGACTCTAATATGCTCAACAAGTACTCAAATAACAATCTTTCATATATATGTCCATCCAAGTGGTGTTCATAGAAGTTAATTTGTAGACCTTCTAGAAAACTTAAAACATCCTACAGCATTTATCTTTTACTCTATTTAGTCATCACTATTCTCTGAGTAACATAACAAAACAGAAAAATAACATGCTTCAGGCAACCTTATTAGTTATAATAGTCTTTGAACTAAAGGGGTAACACACACTTTTCCCATTTATATAGTATTCAAAGCACAAAGTTAATTAAAGTTATACTTCTAACAGTTGGATTTACTATTCTGACATGTATATTACAAGAGAAAGCTATTTATCAAATTGATATGAAGTTTAATATTCATTTTTAACTTTTTTTCTGAAAACACATTAAGCACAGTCTTATCTCTAAACTAAACACAATAAATCTAAGCTACCTAACTTCTCTATTTTCTAGTTACCTCCATTTCTACTAATTAAAAATATGATATTTTCAAACACTTAAAATCTTGCAAGGGTTTCAAAGCTATAATTTACCTCATTAATTTTAATCTGTCGTAATTCTTCCTCAGCTGCAGTCAGTGGGGCAGGGGAAGACTGTGATAGCAAATATTTTCTATATCCATGTAATGATACATCTTCCTGGAAGTACAGAAATGGACTATTATCAGTTATTCTCTAAAAGTAAAACCAGAGTGAAGTTACTTTAGGAAAAACAAAATCATTAATTTAACAAAAAAGATTTTAAATGAAAATAAATAGCATAAAGAATTTTACTATCTCTTTTTAGTTTTCTTTAATCCTCTATTTTAAAAATTTCAAAACTTTTTAACTTTTTAACTTCATTTCCTGAAGTTTTATAATTAGTAAATCTTTAGTCTTAGTTTGGTGGTGATGCCAGCAAAATAATGAAGCTGGTCAACCCCTACAGGACAATTACAACAAACCTTCTGGGGAAAACTACCTGATAATTATTCAGTAATCAGCATATTCAGATTCTGATTCTATTTTATAATG